TTTATTAAACAGATAAGTTGCTTTGTTACACAGGTATTGGTGATCCGGTTAGACATTTTTTCAACCATATGGGGGGCTTTTACACTACTTCTGCTCCTTTGTTCATTCCGAACTGTTAGTTCGATTTGTCGCATCATGCTCTGGCGACATCCAAAGTCCCAATCTTTCAGATCAAATGTATAAGTCCCAAACTCCGCCTTGGATGGCAAAACACCAGAGGGATTTGATTGTACCCAGTACATCATTTTCACGGTTCACCTGAATCATTTCATGCAACCTGGCATAGGTCGGATTCCAGAACGTCGAGTTCTTTGATGGTAACCCGTATAACTTGTGGAATTTTTTCCGTACAGATTGACTATGTTTCTGTGGCTTTATAGCATCTACTGAGGTCACCTGTAGGATTAAACTGGTTGGTTTAGGATCGTCTTGTCTGAAGCCATTTCGGAATGTGATACTCCGTGGAGAGAATCTCGGCTTAAAATTTAAGTTTGATTTAGTCTGCCACTTTCACACTTGTTTGAGTAAGCTTCCAGTAGAACGTTACAGAAATCGCCTAGCTCTTTTGACCTTGTTTAAAGAATTCAATCCTGTTGATAGTGTGAGGAAATTTGGGATTTTTGTGGAGATTTCGTCTTGTAAGTGAAGCCAATCTATGCTGAAAAGCCGAGAAATCACTGTACAGCTGTTTCATCCTTATTGGGAATCATCAGCAGTGCGCATCTCACCAAACTCCGAAGAGTCTAGAACCCGCGACTTCCGGGCTAGTAGTTTGAACACTTAACCGTTCGGCCACGAGTGGCTGATCAGCAGTGTGATTAACTCGCACTTAGACAGGATATAGCGCCGCTCATCCTTCAGTCACGGAATCCACATCACGTGGTCACACGTGTTGACTGGCTCCTCGAGCAACAACTTGTCAGATGGAAGTTTCACTCATGGGGTGAATTTTATTCTTCCACTGAGCTACTTATAGATTATTGTTAGGTATAGACTGGCTTCACTTACAGGACGAAATCTCCACACACAAAAAATCCAAACCTCCCCACATTACCAGCAGGTAGTACGAACACACGCCATGAATTTGCATATTTTCAACTGTATTTAATAAAAGACCTGCAAAAGTATCTATTGCAATGGTTTTGCTCAACACTTGCACTGATTTGTTGTTTTACTGACAAGCCTTCTGGTCTTAGCAGCTATTTATTTCTCTATTCATATACCATATGTATATATATACTTACAAGTAGCTACACTTATGAATTTGACAGAAGACTGTACAGGTGTGTAGGTGCGCACTGATGATGCCTCCTCGTATTGTGACGAGACGTTTGCATGCCAATTGCCAAGCTCGGCAAACAGATCAACAGCCACCTGATCAACAACCAATAAACTCACCCGAGCTACCAATATTTCAACAAATTACCATACGACATAATAACACCTCATCTTTGCTGTGACATAATGTAAACCAGGAGCGCTCCAATGGGTATCCTTTCATCTACTCTAGTTTAACTAGATCTGCCAATAGGATGGTACAGTTCGAAGAAATATTCAGAATCCTCATATGCGGGAGCTTCGGCGTCCAACTATTGAACTTTTATCGCCTTCAAAATACCACGGGTTTCCACCTAATCTATGGGCATTGGTGTCATTTTGATGGCAGTTTTAATATTGTACCATAACAGGCACTTTTAAGCAACATCGCCCTTGTCATTACTGGTGAAAGGAAGAAGGCCTCCGCTGCGGAGTTATTTATTCGGAAATGCCAACTGACCGGTTACAGACCACTGAACAGGGAAGCAAAACTCTGATCTGCATCTTAGTTACAAAAACTGGACACAGATCTTCTCCCGAACGAGTCTTCCTAGAGATTCGTTGCCTCCACTCATTCGTCGGTCAAATCCAAGCAAATGTTACAAAGTGGCCCCACGAATTCCGCAACAGAATTCCTTTTTTCAGTCGACGCAAAGCGAAATTCCGCGAACAACACATACTACTCGCGTGCCTTTCGATCAGTAGTATCCCCGTTACACTAGTAGGTGGCTGCTGGACTTGCAGAATTTATGTTCAGATCGCTCTTGTCCGGAAAGGCGTCCTCCGGTCTTGGCTCAGTAATTCTGGTGAGTTCACGCCACTAGACTCGGATCTCGTCCTTACGAGAGCACATCATCAGAGTGGGAACTCACCAGAATAATTGTCCCAGTATAGGAGGAGGACCGTTCGGACGAGAGTGATGTGAACGTACATTCCACTAATCCCATAAAACCCACAGTTACTACTTATCGGAGATTGACAAACAGGTTTCAGGCTTACGTGGTATTCACTCATTGGGAAGTCCTGACAGGCAGGTCAGTAAATCGATACAACCGGGAAATGTACTGGGTCATCGTTCCAGGCGTCAGGCAAACCAACCACATCGCTCAAGTGTTAACGTGTTTGTCTGTGCAGACGTGAAGGTTCAGATTTATTGATCGTGCGCTGGTAGAGTAGTGGTAACACGTTCACCTCGCATTTCAGATACTGGAAGTTCAAACCCCAAGAATATGCATGCTGTGATGAGCTCTAGCAAGAGCGAAACTCAAGTTTGACACTGACGTTTGAGCAATCATAAAGTGAATGCCCAGATAAACTTTCAGTCAGCAGCAGTTTTTCTGTAACATCAAATGCATATACCTTCGTAATTTCCCGTTTGAAATTCGCACAGACTGTATGGAGTTTGCGCGCATTAGAAACGACTTTTGTAAATTAATCTCCACAATATTGTCGCTTGGAATTCTGTAAATTGTCAGTTTGTTAAAATATTGGTAGCTGTGTTACTGTGTGTGACTGAACAGAGGCTGTCGATTTGTTCCTCGATCTCCGCAACTGCCTTGTCCCCAGTAGAAAAGACATTGCCTGTACGCAGCTGAGTGGGTAAGCCCTCCTTAACTAGCAGCGCTTATATAGCTTTCGAACAGTATCTAATATCCTCTCATGTGATTTGCTAGTGGTTGTTCGCCTTTCTTGCACTCGCATTGGCCCGTTCGCGGTTTGCACTGCTCGCATCTCCGTCACGTGACCACTTGACTTATCAACAAGAGCTACTGTGGCGGGACCTATGATCATTCTGACACTGTCGTCCTTGAAATAAGTCAGAATGTGAAAAGGATCGCTTGAGTAAACTATTTTTTCATGAAGTAAACTACCCAAAAAATTGCTTAAAACTCTTCGANTCAGAAAGAGCTTCTTGCTTCGTTTTCCGGTATGGGGAAATCCTCAATGTGGAAGCATCTTTCAGCGACAGTGCCTGCTTCTCCCATCTTGGCGCATCCTCAGTTGTTGCATGTCATTGTAACTCATTGTTGGGTAAATCTGAAGGTACCTTGTTGTGTATTTTTCGTGTGGGGATCAGATGAGGACAGAATGGTTCCCTGAACCTAATCATCGTGTGGCCAGCCGAAATGAGAGCCGGTGCGCAGTGGTGGCACCGCGCAGCTCAGCACCGGGTAATACGGTGCTTATATGACCAGGGCATAATACTCCGCTGTGATGGCTCGTTTGGATTGTGATGGGTCGTTTGAATTATCGGTTCCATTCTTTCCGCCAGACTACCGGCTGTGAGATGACCCTTGTTTAAAACCTCTCCGGTTCTAAACTGTTTAGACTTGCTCCGCTAATTCGCTCTTTTCATGAGTGAAGAATGTTCGTAGCAAAACCGATCGGTTGGAAAATGTTCAGCTATCCTGGTGATACTCACGAAACTTACTTGTATCGGGACAACAACAGTGGATTAAAACTGATCTAACTAATTCCACAGTTCATAGTCGTAGGGTGAAAGTTTTCGACTCGTTATCGCAAGTAAAATGCCAGTGACTGAGCTAATCAAATGGCGCCAAACCAAAACAGGCGAAACGTGTGTCCTCCGTCTGATCCAGTAAATGGTTTAGTATAGATGATCGTCCGTCACCATAAGCTTCTCATACGACACGTTCAAGTGAAGAGTTGCCAGTAGATGAAGTGGCTTTAATTTCTTTACAGGATGAAGAAAATTCGGTACTTCAAGTNGTCTCCCGTGAAAACCAGTTTGACTTGCAGATGAGTGTGTTTGTTGTAATTTTTCATGAACTGTTGGCTGAAAGGACAACGTAAACACCCAAATTAGTTCAGGTATCGCTTTATGCCAAGAATGTTAGGATGTGGGTAGAATGATGGAAAAATGGCTTCTTTTTCCGTTTTCCGGTGTGGGGAAATCCTCAATGTGGAAGCACTTTTCAGCAACAGTGCCTGAGTTTCCCATCTTGGTGCTTCCCCAGATGTTGCATGTCACTGTAATTCATTGTTGAATAAATCTGGAGGTACCTCGTTGTCTATTTTTCGTGTGGGGATCAGATGAGGACAGAATGGTTCCCTGAACCTAATCATCGTGTGGCCAGCCGAAATGAGAGCCGGTGCGCAGTGGTGGCACCGCGCAGCTCAGCACCGGGTAATACGGTGCTTATATGACCAGGGCATAATACTCCGCTGTGATGGCTCGTTTGGACTATCGGTTCCGTTCTGTTTGTCAGTCTGCCGGCTGTAGGAATTTAACCTCTTCGCCCTAAACTGTTTAGACTTGCTCCGCTAATTCGCTCTTTTCATGAGTGAAGAATGTTCGTAGCAAAACCGATCGGTTGGAAAATGTTCAGCTATCCTGGTGATACTCACGAAACTTACTTGTATCGGGACAACAACAGTGGATTAAAACTGATCTAACTAATTCCACAGTTCATAGTCGTAGGGTGAAAGTTTTCGACTCGTTATCGCAAGTAAAATGCCAGTGACTGAGCTAATCAAAGGGCGCCAAACCAAAACAGGTGAAACGTGTCTTCCGGCTGGTCCAGTAAATGATTCACTGTAGATGATTGTCCGTTAGCATAAGCTTCTCATACGACACTTTCAAATGAAGAGTTGCCAGTAGATGAAGTCGCTTCAATTTCTTTACAGGATGAAGAAAATTCGGNAAGTCGCTTTAATTTCTTTACAGGATGAAGAAAATTCGGTACTTCAAGTTGCAACAAGACAGTCAGCTGGATTCGCCAGATTCTTGTTCAACACAATCGTCCGGATGCGGATATTTGGATTCAGCGGTCCAGTGCGATGCATCCATAGTGGAGGAACCAAAGAAGACGAATCTTGCTTTACCTGCTCAGTAAGTTTCAATTGCTCTCCACCCCACCTGTTCAAAATCATTGTCTTTGTGCTTGACAATCTAGGTATCACACGAAATAGCCAATGATAACTGTGTTGGATTTGAGATGTCAACTTATTGTTGGTAGAGTGAGGAAATTTGGGTTTTTCTGGAGATTTCGTCCTGTAAGTGAAGCCAAGCTATGCTGTAAAGCCGAGAAGCACTGTACTGCTGCTTCATCCTTATAGGGAATCATCAGCAGTGCACATCTCACGAAACTCCGAAGAGTCTAGAACCCGCAATCTCCTGGCTTAACCGTTCAACCACGAGTAACTGATCAGAAGTGTGATTAACTCGCACTTGGACAGGATATAGCGCCGCTCATCCTTCAACCAAGGGATCCACATCACGCGGTCACAAGTGTTGACTGGCTCCTCGAGCAATCACTTCTCAGATGGAAGTTTCACTCATCGGGTGAATTTTATTCTTCCACTGAGCTCCTTATATATTGTTGGTAGTGTGAGGAGATTTCGTCTTGTAAGTGAAGCCAATCTATGCTGAAAAGCCGCGAAGCACCCTTATAGGGAATCATCAACAGTGCATATCTCACGAAACTCCGAAGAGTCTCGAACCCGCAACCTCCTGGCTTAACCGTTCTGCCACGAGCCACTGATCAGCAGTGTGATTAACTCGCACTTAGACAGGGTAAAGCGCCGCTCATCCTCCAACCACGGGATCCACATCACGCGATCACAAGTGTTGACTGGCTCCTTGAGCAACGACTTCTCAGATAGAAGCTTCACTCATCGGGTGAAGTTTATTCTTCCACTGAGCTACTTACATATTGCTAGTAGTGTGAGAAGCTTTGGGATTTTTGTGGAGATTTCGTCTTGTAAGTGAAGCCAATCTATGCTGAAAAGCGGCGAAGCACTGCTTAGCTGTTGGGAATCATCAGTAGTGCGCGTCTCACGATGCTCCGGACAGTTTCGAACCCGTGACCTCCTGCTTAGTAATTTGAACACTTAACCGTTCGGCTACGAGCGGCTGATCAGTGGTGTGATTAACTCGCACCTAGACAGGCTATAGCACCGCTCATCCTTTAATCACGTGATCCGTGGTGGTTCAAACTATTAGCCGGAGCTACATAAAGCACTTGAGATGCATCACGCTGGAAAGATTGTGGAAGATGAATTTACCAAGGTTTCGCAAAGTTTAGTTGTTCGATGAGCCGGCACGACCGTTTCAATATCCAGTTATACCCAGGAAATCAGACCTCGAAATACAGTTGATAGCTGATAACAGCTTGTCACAAAATGCCCCTCCAGTGGACACAATGGAGGTGAAGAAAGCTGCGGCGCCTTTTGTAGGGAGCAGCTATTAATACGTTTGGATTCGCATCATACAATGATGAGACGGTGCTAGAATGAATGACCCGATCAAGCAGGATCTTGACACTCCAACAACTGGAGGTATGATCGCCTATCATCTAGACGTTCTCTGAATGTACGTCGCCAACCGGGGACACCGTAGCAATAAAGAAGAATCGGGTAAGAGAAACATTCATGTTTATGGAATTTCGTGTGAGTTCCTTGCAACTGTTGTACCCGGCACAACTTGACATTCGTCACTAGTTGATACCCAGTCAAATTCGATCTGCAGAGCAGCCGGTGCACGGCTTTGACGGTGCCTGTGTAAACGTGGGCTGTTTTTTCACCACCCATGTCAAATAGTTGGACCGGCAGTCACGCGCATTTACCACAGAAGAAACAGAATCTTCAAAACAGTCCTCATCGAAAGCTCGATTGCTTTTCAACCAACAAACAGCATTGGACATGAGAACACACACACAGCTGGGATGGTGTGGCCAACAGCGTGAATAAATCTGTCCAACTAGTAACTTAAAGCATGTGTTGAAGTTCCCGTTTCCGACAGGATAATTGCTCATCAACCGAGTTCTCTCGTTCATTTTGTGACGGTGGGTGATACATGGATGTGGTTCGTCTCTCACAGTCTGAGTGAATATTCCACATCTTTGCTGTTGAACTGCTAAAAAACCGAAAAACGTTTCAGAGTGTATGGGACCTTGTTGGACACCGATTTGGGACTTTGGAAAAAAATGAAAGCAAGTTTGTAGGGTGAAGAAGAAACACCCTGGAGGGGATGTTCAAGAACCTCAGTTGCGCTGAAATTACCTTTGCAGACGTCACAGGTGTCCTGTAAAAGTTTATGGACAATCGATGCCTTTGGGAAATCACAGAATCAGCCGAAAACTGGCAAACAAAACATTAAAAAACCACGATTGTTTTGAACAATAATAAACCGGTCTGTAGCAGTGTGTTCTGCCCGCTAAAAGTAGAACTAAACGTAGTACACTCATTTGCAAACAAATTGGGTTTTGCGGGAAAATCACCTGGGAATTAGCTGAGTCTCCCGCTTATGATGTTTTTAGGCAACTGTGCTGCATCAGACCACAAATGAGTGTGTCACGCTATTTTCTTGCAATTTGGTTTCAAGTAGAACCTAGGGTTGACGGAAAATCGGGAACTGTGCCTACATGACGATCCCCAAGAAGGTCGAAGCCGAACGTGTGCTGTCGAAAAGAGCCCTTCGAGGAAGTCGGTCGACTGGCACACGCAGCACGCGGTCAAGCCAGTCGTTTCAAAATCGTCGCAAGACTCAGTGGTACACTACTTCACAGACCTTAGTTCCATAAAGCATTTTCACCTTCCAAGTTGAAGGCATTACTTGCGGTCGAAAACGTCATGGTTGTTCGTCGCAAAAAAATTTCTGTGAGGATGACTGTTTTAGATTTCGAATACAAAAGAAACATTGGATCAGTCCCTAATCGTTTTGTGTACTCAGCTTACGGTGATTTTTCCAAGACTGAAACTGTCCAAACTTTTGACCACAAACTGAAACAAATTCCCTGTACTGTTTTGTACTTCGAGCTGACGGAAAAGAAAGTTGTTTTGTATTCTTAGAAGAGTTAATTATGTTCTTTAGGGAAACTACTCACATCTCGAGTATCGCACCAACTGAAGCTTGAGGCGTCCTTTGTGCAGTGCACTCAGTTAAAAACCATCATAAGAGAAGGAATAAGCAGGGTATCAGACCAGTCTTGCGTCAAAAACAAACTGGAGCGAGACTACTTGTATTTAAAGTGTTAAGTAGTCATTATCTATGAGTGCGGTCTGTAGAAGAGGCTGTGAGGTGCATTGGTTAGTGATCTGGTTGTAACGGAATAAGGTTGATTATCAGAAGGTGATAAGCACTGACAAATGTCTGTTTTACCAGAATGATGATCACAAAAGTTTCGTGCATTCAATAGAAATAAATACAATACAAGAGGAGAAAAAGCCAAAAGGTGACTAGTTGTTATTGGTACAACTTTCGAGAGCCCCTGAGTGGAGTTCCGGACGCGGGACGCGACTTCTCTGCAGTATAGCTGCTACACGCGTTCCGTAGTTGGCCGTGGAGACTTGCGGAGCTCCGCTGACTTCCTGTCCTGTGAGCGCAAATGTGTGTTCAGGCCGAGATGCGTGCTTATTTATTGTGTGCAGTGTGCAGAGAGGGTGTCCATCCGTATTTGATAATTTCATGAACGCGAATACAACTTAGCCTGATGTGGTTGAACTACGTAAGTCTGGCGCGTGGCGCGTAAACAAAAATGGATGAGAAATTGTAGTGTACTTGTTGTCGGCCAAGCTTGCCACTTGGACAGGAATTGTCACGTGATTTGAGTGTTTGGGATGCGTGATGATCTAGTGAGCGCCGCTACTAATTTATGGAAGAATCGTATGGTAAGGCAGGGCAGGGGGAACGTTGATACTGCAGCTAAGGTGGCGATGCAAACATGAAGCTTAGAATAACCTCTTTTCACCCTCTGATTGATTTGACTGTAAATTAGATTGCACACTTGATTTGTCCATTCTCCCCTACAAGGGCTCTCGGATTACTGTTCGGAGTATCCTTGACTGTCCTCATCACACTGAGTTCTTCAAAACAAAGGATCATGCAAGCTGCTGTGTCGAGTGGCTATGACAAAAGCTTTGGCCTGTTCGATGAACCCAGTGAAGCTGAATATATTAGAGTGCTGGATGTTCTACGAACGCATGTCAATGAATTGTATGCCTTCGATCCACGAGTGGATTTGTCCACAGACCCCGGCACACAGTTGGATTACACACTCAGTCAAGGACGTTTGTCTGCTCTTTCCTGGGTGGATCAAATGCAGTCGAACACCCTGTGGGAAATGAATCTACACATACCTAATAAAACAAGCCGGGAGAAATACTTCAAACAGCTGATTCAAGAATCAAGTGAACCGGATCGATTGGACCGCTATGCACATGTGATCATATTCCACGGAGCCAATCAGCCAGCCGAAGTGCGTGAGTATATCGTTGGACCAATGCATTTAAACAAAATGACAGTTACTGTGGAAGCCACTCATCCTTATTTAAAGCGTCCTCTGGGCGGTGCCGAGTACGGGGCGCTATTAGACCTTCTCGCGATTATATGTGACCAACTGAAGCCAATACTTGAAGTGTCCTACGACGCAAGTTATTTCATGTCGGGCCCTAGCTCAAAGTGGTTGGATGCTATCAACTTGTCGACTTTCGACCGATCGGCAAAGCCAGCCACTCGATGTCAGTCGTCGGTGATGCTGGAAAATGTAAGAGGAAAGGCGCATTGTCTCATTCCATCTTTTGCTTCCCCTCTCGTGACTAGTTCCAACCCAAGGGCACGTCGTATCTGGTTCCGTTTGGTGCGCCAAGTTGCTCCTTTCATCCAATACCCTGTGGACATACAGTTTGAGGTAGGTTGTGTGTTTCGTCCACTAACCCGTTGCTCACTTTCGAGGTCCTTAAGACACGACATTGGATAAAATTAATGACTTTGTGAAACGACACCTTAACATTTAACACACGTTTGCAAATGAGTGTATTTCGCTAATTTCGTGCAATTTGGAGTCCAATGAAACAAAATATTGACGGAAGTCACCGAAACATGAAGCGGCCTGGTGCAGCACATTCAGTCGCCTAGAAGGATCACAAACGAGAGATTCAGCTGGGTTCCAGATGGGTCTCCCGCAAAACCAAATTTGTTTGCTAATGAGTGTATTTCGCTCTTTTTTGTGATTTGGGTTGAAGTTGAACATAAGTTTGACGGAAGCTTGAGGACTGTGCCTAACTGATGAGCCCAAGAAGTGCGAAACTAGTCTCGAGATGTGGAAGAATTTTCAGCAGCCTTATGAGTAGTGCATTAGGAAAATCGGTATATTATGAAAAACGGAGGATAGGAGACACCGGTAGGGTGCGTATGTCTGAGGTTTTTATTCTTGAATCTGGAAAAATGAGTACTTTGATGAGCAGCCTTTTTATCCATAATTTTAGCTGATTTCAGTGTTTTTCGGTTAATCAACAGATGAATATTTCGCGACGCATTCAGAAGCGAAAAAACAGTTAAAATCTTTTTGTCCGAAGGAGTATTCGATGGAATTGTAGGCCACTGTTTTGATTTTATCGTCCACCTGTGTTGATGTATGGGCTAACTCATTTCTGATCCTCTCTCGCTGTCCGATTACCAGCGTATTGGGTCAGGTATGACGAAATGATAAAAATGAACACAGAAAAATACCTGGTTATAGGGGTACAGTGAACTTTTCACTTCCTCGTCTCAAAGTAATCCATTCGGTCGGGCATTGCAGTGCATTCCGGTACAGTTTGATAGGAATGATTTACAACTGATCTCCGTCTTGAAAGCTATAGAAGATTCCGTCCCCTTGGTACGCACCAACACGCACCAACGGTACGTGTAAGTCATAAATCCAACGGTGTGTTTGCAATTCAAACAGAATAATAATATTGATAGTAGTAATAGTACATTGAAGGATACAGTCTGGATAAGTTCGCGCCGTGGAACCCCGGACACGGGGTCACCATGCAGGGGGGTGGCAGTGACCAGAACAGCTGAGTTTTCCGGTCCTTCTGGCTTTCAAACTTCGCTGCCAAGTCACTTCCTGACCTCCCGTGGCTCCGCTCCACCCTCCGTATGGTTGTGCGTTTCGATAGACTGGTTTGACTGACATGTGGAGCAGATAACCAAGCTCACATATTTAGGAACACCAAATTAGCTATCTTTCGTAGCTCCTACACCATTTGTTGCCTTCTTTTTTCTTGATGCATTTAAAGCGCATGCAGGTTGCGACATTGCGCTGTGTGGACAGATTTATCTATTTTTAGCACGAAGATTACTGGAGATTAAAAATTCACGTCCCCACCGTCCGACCGTGAAGCAGAATGAATAAAAATCCATCCTACTGCATTTTTTACATTCGGTTTTAAAGTGAGCTTACTCCAACCGGTCTGGAATGTCAATCAACCTCTTACGGGCAGGTTCCTTCTATGCTTTCCCAGGTTTATGTTTTGGTCTTTTAACAAACCTATGCAAGGCAATTAATTACGGAGATTTGACACTCTAAGTTGTTAACAAACGACCGATTTGTCGTTATACCTCCGACTCGTTGAATGTGTTGCAGCTGACGTTATTAAAGTTTGTCCCCCCGGGAGGTTAAGGCAATGTGTTTTCGTGTGCCTGTCTTTAAGTGCATCGGTCGCCTTGTTCTGGTCTTCTAGGCGAAGAAATCAGCAGGCAAATAGATGGAAGGAGCGGATTTATCAAAACGATCAATAGTCGCTTGGCTAAATGTTCAAACCCACTGGGGAACCATACTCTTTTGAGGCCACAAAGGCGAGAAGGTACACTACATGAACGTCGGATAATAAGCTCAGCTGATTGGCAGGTGGGTCTCATGTTGTTTGGAACGTTCGTGAACCTAATGATTTCATGTTTCCACAGCCAATCGAAAGCTACACATGGCAATCAGCACTTTCATATAGGAACCCAAATGTTTATTCGATGATGACAAGTCCCACAAACCCGATATTTCATCCTACGTTTCTTACGCAGCCGGTTTGTGTTCAGTGTTTATATTTTATGGTTTTCCAACCAGGCAGCAAATCAAATAGGATTGCTCTTCTGAATCCACTATCTTCAAAAAAAGCATACTTTTGGATGGCGTCGTTTGGTCTAATCTATACAGAAAGAATTTTAAATCAGGCATTTTTATCCACCAGTGATGAAACAGATCCTGAATTCGTCAGGAAACCTTCCAGAACCTGAACTCTTTCCGGAGACGAACCGAAAACGTTAGAGCTCCGCTATTTGATCCATCACTTTTCACAACCAAGCACCACTAAAACCCAACACATTGCACGAGAGAACGCCTGAAGGAAAGTTAACGCGATTCAGTGCACTTCTCAGAAGAAGATGACTTTCGTGAACCCAAAGGTTTTCTCCACAGAAATCCTCTTCCTAGAAAGCAGTGAATGATCCTTTAGATGGAGCGTCTAACCATCGATCTAAAATGATTTTTGATCAATAACCAACATGGTTAGGGCCTATTGTTCCTTACTAATTGAGAGTTTACCCTATTCTGTCCCAAGCCGAGCAACGAGGAAACGTTCCGAAATTGGGGTACGGTTAATCGATTTGTGGACATCGACCTGGTGCTTTACTACTCTGCTTCGGGTTCAGTCGGTATCGCACGGACAAACAGCGCGTCTACTCGTTTTAACTAGCATTTAGCATCTTACTTCATGGTGTTCAGGTGTGACGCTGTCATTTTATTAAAAACCAAACCTGGCAGACAAACTCCGATTGGAGTCGCCCGTGAGGCAGATCTTCGTGGGTGGAACGTTTAGTATGACACTGTGTTGAATTAACACAACGGGAGTGATGGAGTCACGAGGTACGCAACTAGGCTGTAAAATGGTGACCTCAAGGTGTCTGATTTTTTAGCATGATATCGATTAGCCCTCATTGCTTGCTATGTCTCCGACTAATCGTATGGGGTCACGAGGACCCTATCCTGCGAGTTGTAACCGTTATTCAAATGTAGGGTTCACAACTGGCTTCCCAGCGAATCTAACACTCTAAAAAACTGGTGAAACGAGGAACGCGCTTCGCGGCGGAGTTGTTTATTGGAAAATATCAACTAAACCACAAACAATTGGACAGGAAGGTAAACGTTTCATATGAACCTTTTTTTTAAAAAAAAACTGAATATCCGCCTTCCTGAACCTTCGGAATATTCTTTTTGCTATCACGCAATTGTAAACGAATGCTGCAAAGCAGTTCAACAAATTCCGTAATAAACCCAACCTTTTATCAGACACGAAACTGAGTTACGTGAAAACCACCTACTACTCACATACCTCGTCAGTAGTATCTGCCGCCACACGCGTAGTGTCTACTGGAAATACCTACCAACATGCCACATAGTTACTTATCCTCCAATCGTACGAAACTGTCTCTCCATATTTGACCGGGCGGAAATAGAGATTATGAAGACCCACTGAAATATATGACAAAATACATTCAGAAAGCATACAACCAAGCAAACAAGCAACAAACTTACAAGCAATTCATTTTCCAACTTTTCTATAGAACTTTCGATACTGGTGTTCATCACTGGAAGTGGTCTTGTTGTATCCGCCTGTGCTTTTAAACGAATCACTGTTAGGGCACACCACATGCCAGAAATGTTGTGAACGTTTTTGGTGGACTTTTACTTTTACCGTTTCAAAATTTTCCAAGTTTGCTGAAACCGTCTGGGTAGCACAGTTTTTCCTTTCTTGCGACTTGCAAGTGAGTGCAGTGTCCTAGTTTCCATCGGAATTGTGTTTCACTGGAACACCAAGTTGTACGCCACTGGTCAAATACGGAATGACGTGAACGGAATTTATCTCAGCTTCCCGTTAACCTACAAGTGGATGTTTTTCGCTCACAGACTAAAGTGGTTTCACACACATCATCAGAAGTCTCTTCAAGGTCATGGAAACATCCAAAACGAACATATATGGCAATATAAATCAACATATCAGCAGCTTGTTGCGCAGCACGTGTAGTGTCCAGAAGGACTACTGTGTGTAAAAGAATCACGACAGCTCACATACCGATCACTTCTTTAAACAAACTCAGCCTAAGACCTAAGAAGGAGGTCGGAAAAAACAACGCGGTCTACCGAAACAATTGCTTCAATCGGAAAAATAACACACCAGTGAAAACACCCAATACGACGGTTGGAAGGCCTCATTGTTTCTGTTCGATCTCCCCAGGAACGGACTCTCAAGGTCACAAGTGCGACTAGGAAAGTGCGAAACTCTTAGCACAAGAAATCCAAAAAATCTGGGAAGTGGGGAGATTTTAACTGCATCCAGTTTCCATTCTTCTATGTATAAAAGAACGGCGGTTCAGNAACCGGCGGTTCAGCCAGAACCGATAATTCCACTAAGAATACCGAAGACCGGATTTCCAGTGCAAACATTTCAACGAAAGTCACAGGACAAAACACAAAGAGAGCCCATTCAGGGCGTTCCATAAGCATATCAGCTCATCAGAACACGAGCTGGCGAGCGGCGCTGTTTATACAAGCAACCAATCACAAGAGGAGTGCAGTTCCGGTAAACAGTGCTAGCATATCCAATGCAGGCAACCACCCAGGACACTTCGGAGATCGATCCGCAGCGCTTCACTTTACACAGACGCACTGACGATGTCGTTTCCAATAGTATTCTCAACGTTACCGCAGTTTGCCTGCACGTGACCGTTACCAAGCTTGTCAGGACGACGCTGAGCCTCGTTTCCCCTTGAGGACGGCTAAAATACCTACGGGAAATCCAACGAAAATGTGTTATTCTTGCTCCAATGAAAACCCAACCAGCCACTCTATGAGCTATAATCCATCCATCGGTCCCAGCTGCTAGAGTTCCGATAACCAAAAAGTGGTAGAGCGTGGTACATAAAGCCAATGACAGCTGGTCGTTACATCTTCACTTGGTTGCGAAACCCAGTGGCCACGCATTGATTCACAAGCACAACTGACTCCGCGATTCGGCCATTTCCGCCTGTGTCATTAAACACCGGGTGTTTGTATTGAGTCCCTGAGTCTCCATCCTAGGAGGCTGTGGTTGTCCACCTCTGGGTGGCTTCTACTCAGAACTTGGCTGGGTGAAAATGGCTCTCGGGCAGAGAGTCCTCTGGCATGTGAGGTACATGTCCTATCCAGCGTAACCTACGAAGCGTGAGTAGTTCATCTATCGTGGGAGAGTTCCTTCTTCCGAGGACCATCTGGCGTACCCCAGCATTACTTGTCCGATGTTCCCACCACACTGGACCAATGTTTCGGAGGCACCAATCGTCAAACATTGACAGCTTTCTCATGCCATTTGTGCGTATAGCCCGCAATTCTGTTCCAAAAACTTATATCGATCGCAGTACCCTAATGTAAACCGAGTTCTTGACAGACTGACTAACATGGTATGGTGGCCACAGCTAACCATCATTCCAGTTCTACCATGTCAATTACGGAACCTGACAAAAGTGACCAATTATTGACTACTCACGAGTAGGCAGTTAATCAGTGAAATATACGTTTTCCTGACTGTGATGACCAGTGTGAGCTGACACTTTAGAGAGCAGCCCACGAGAGGATGAACCATGAAGTGATTTTCAGCACTAGAGCTCTGTGTGTGACCTCAAGTCAAATGATTGAGAATGTGCAATCGGTGATTAACGTCGGCTGTTTGAAGACCTACGTCGAATTCTCTGTCTCCACTCCCAGACTACTCAGGGTTCTTCCTAGAGGCTCTGGGCGACGGTTACACCATTGCAAGGCTGTATCTGTATATTCTATGTATATCACTAGTTCAGTATTAGTATAACATTGTGTGTATTACGTATTATAATGATTTGTGTGAGGTATACTGACATGATTATATGCCTGTGGAGTTAAGTTGAAGTCAAGTCATGAGCACAAGCGGTCATTGGGCTGATGACAACAATATCTGAAGTCTATCATAGGTACAGGCATGGGATTACAACGAAGAACTTACTTTGAAATGAACTGCATACAACATTTTTGACGAGTAGGTGGGCAGGGTAAGGCCTTGCTCCAGGTGGCTTTTACGGTAAAACCCTCCATCTTGTACTCTACACTGGAGCACCCTATGATGAATCAACACTTAAGTCAGGAACTTCACAAGATCAGATTTTAACGATATACTGGTCAAAAACTTTTACAGCGCTGAATACCGACTGAAGTAAAGACATATTTGAAGGATATCATATCACAAAACGGCTCAATAATCATCGGGCTCCTTATGGTTAGCATTGCTTTCATCATTATGAAAAAGCATCTTTTGGCGATGACTTGTGTTTATTGATTCGTACTCAGAATTGATTGCGGGAGAGATGCCTGAAGCGGTTAGAGCGCGGATTTACTGAACATGTAGTTACCCAGTCACCCACATACTTGACTGCTCAGCTCACAATCGCTCGTCGGATCATGAGGCTTGTCTTTTTTCACACTCACAAACACGTCACATTAAGATGACTCATCAGACATCGATTACTGTACCCACCAGTGAGCGTAGCAACAACTCATGTGCTGACATACCCACGTAGACGCAAACGGACCTATAGACGGGGAAACCAAACACAGCACACAGACTCGCGCGCGCAGGCAGCGGGAAGTCAGCCACTCCACAAGTCCACGGACAATTATGGAACACGTGTAGCAGCCATACTGAGGAGAAAACACGTTCCCGCCGTCCGGACTTTCACCAAGGAACTCTCACAGACGATAAGCTCCTCTTTTGACTTGCTCCCATTTCGCAGTGTATTTATTCTTATACGTGTTGCAACCCACCACTGTCGACCGTACTAAAAACTTGTATTAGTGTATATACCTGCTGATTTGTATCATGGTCATCATCAGCAGTGCACTGATAAACGGAAGGTCCGCGATTCGAACCCGACCTCTGCCTCTCGACTTCCCCTGTCTAGGCTTGGGCAACCTTGGAGTATCCCTCGTGCAATTTTCGGGTGACATGGCAGTTAGGCATCGAAAGGGTGCTGAACGATTTTTTCCACTCAGAGTTAATTGTGTGAAAAAAACACTAGGTCTTTTTGACGTTTATGACCGGTGACTGCTACTCAGGTTAACTATCACCCTCCCACGAAGAAGCACACTCTGTAGAAACATTCCGAGTTTCTTCATTTACGGGCCCCGCCGAAAGTGCAAATTTTGTTGGCGACAATAGCTTTCAAGGAAGGCAAGTCAGCTTGCTACTCTACTTAAAGCTATCTCATGCGAAGGCCTGTTAAGCCTGTTTTTGTGGAATGTAGGTAGCTCGGGTGCGCTGCTTGGTTGTTGGTCTGTTCACCGAGCTTGTCATTTGGACTGCATACGTTTCATCACCAATCGAGGTGACATTGTCAGTGCAGGGTTGAGTGGCTGAATTACCCCTCTTCTACCTGTGACTATATAGCTTCTAAACAGTATCTGGTAGTTCTGGAAACGGTCTTCGGGTAGTTTGACTGGTCTCCTGTGAATCTTACGTGGTCTCAATCTCCTGTGTCTGGTTGGTTCGTTGGGCGCATTCAATTCGGCACTTCTGTGTGTGGTTATTCTGTTGTGATTCGGCCGTTTTCTTCTTAATTTGTGGTATGATTTTGTTCCCTTGGTTGACTGATTCAGTGGCCTTCTGTTTTAAGTGATTATCTTACTTCGATCCGTTGGTTGTCGTTAGGTTTCTTGGCTCAGAGTCCCGTGACTATGTGGTTCTTTTGCTCGTAACGGCTGATAGACTGGGTCAATGTCGATGTGTTTATTGATAGGTTTTTGTGTCGAGTATCACCCCTCGGCAAATTCTCGCTCCCGTTTTGTTCTTGCGTGAGGAAGTATTTTAACATTAACCCAACTGGACTTGTGTCCTTCACGAAGACAGAAAAGGCCTGTTTTTTATATGGTAGCAAAGTGAGAAATTCAGACGACACGGGGATAACGACAACACTGCTAGTATGAATCGTCGCCATTCTAGCTCAGCCACTTACCACATACACGATAGGTTGCAAAAAATGTGATATTGGAAGATACCTGTCCTCTCTTTATGTTATATCTGCTGATTCTCCGACCTGTGGTATCTGCTACTGACCCGCTCCAGTGTCCAGTGCCTAGAAAATAGACTCACAGAAGGGAACACAGCAGCTATATTCCGAACAAGCGAGTGCGAGAGCAAAAATTACAACGGCCCCACGCTATTTAAAGAGGTCTTTCTGACAGTGATCCAGGCTGTCTGATGGGCGTTAGTGATCACCCATCAACATCGATCGTGCCTCTGTGAAAAGCCTGAACGCTGATCACATTCGGTCGTGCTTCTGTGGCGTGCATGAACGTTCATCAGCTTTTGTTGATTTGATTGAATGATTGACTGGCCCGGACGCTTGTCGGCTTTCTTGTTGAGATTTTGGTGGAGCAGTAGGTTCCGGGCATTCTGAGGATACTTTCAGGAATCTGACCTTCCTGATGCTCTATATTACCAGACATCTGAACAGTAAGCAATGGATCACCTGCGATTCACTGGTTTTCTTACCCATGAGCAAACTGAAATCGCGGGAGAGTGGAAATGAAGATAGCTACTGTACGAGACATCGAATATGAAAGTCTTCAATACGGAAGACCATGGAGATCCCCTTTGTGTCTATGCTAATATACCATCTTTCCGACGTTTGTGTAGTCAAGCAAACTCAAATGCATACCAATTTGGTTTAATAGGAAACTCACCTCAACATCAGCTAGATCCCTCTTTTATGATATTCTCCAACTGAATGTGCTGCACACAGGACGTGATTTGTTTCATTTGGTACAATATTCGAGAAATTCCAGTATATTTTCATGAGGGGAAGTGCTAGTGAGTTGGATGAAAACTATCCAACAGCCCACGACTGGTTGCACCATTCTTGGAGTTCACCCGGAGTTCCCGTCAAACTCGAACCCACACCCCTGAACGTATCATATGTGAAGAAATTGTGGGAGAATGACGCTAAAGTACACATATCGTATGGCCTACCAAACAGAGAGTGATAAACAACGTGAAAAAAACGATTATCGAAGACAAAATTCAGCTGAGGGCTGCAAGAGGAATAAGCATAAAAATCAATTGGTTTCTTTCGGTTTTACTTTTTCTGCATCAGAATTACTCACGACCCCATGTTTGTTTTGCAGATTGACATTACGTCACTGAATCCGCAGCAATGGACACTGAACCAGATCTGGTTTCAAGGTCGAACTTACACCAAAGTCACCGAAATGTTGGATCTGCACAAGACTGGGTCGTTACATATTGTTCCACAACCGTTTATCGATCTATATCCACAGCAGATGCGGTATGGCCCTGGGCAGACTAGAAAGGATGACGACGAGGCTGGCCTACCTGTAAACGCAGCCATTTTACCGACTTCCTTTCTCAGCTCAGGCTTCAAGCGGAGGCAGCAGTCTCAACCTGAATCAGTCATTCCAGCCAAACCTGTTCAGACACCATCTTCACCTTTGTTTGGTTATAACAGAATACAGATAGCCGGTCGGCGAGTGAGGTACCAATCCTGGGATTTCCATCTAACTCTTCGCAAGGAAACAGGACTGCGCGTTTACGGAGTATACTTTGCTGGACACAGTATAATCTCAGAAGCTGGCCTAGATGAGACAGTTACCTCTTATTGGGGCTATTCGCCCTTCATGCGAGCCATGACTTCCCTTGAGTCTATGTATGGGGTTGGTGCGATGTCTTCAGAACTGAGTCCAGGAATTGACTGCCCCAAAGAAGCGGTTTACTTGCCTGTACGGCTGGTTTTGTCTGGAGAATCTGGACCAAAAGTGCTGAAGCACGGGATATGTCTGTTCGATTGGCTTGTTCAACCTCCGGGTGGCCCACTGAGAAGACATTTTGAGTTTCCAGGTGGCCGCTCAGAAGCGTCGGGGGGCTCGGAAACCACAGAACACACTAATTTCGCTTTCGGCACGCCTTCACGTGCCCTCGTTGTACGCTCAGTCGCAAGCATATTCAACTATGATTATGTTTTTGATATTGTGTTCCATGCTTCTGGAGTGATTGAATTTTCGGTTACCCCAACGGGTTATATTCATGTGGATACAGTCCCTCCGAATTGGTTTTCCAATCCCTCAAATCAGAGTTGGCACGAAAAAAGTGCTTTTGGCTTTGTTTCCAACACAATGCCACTTTACTTTGTGGCGCATCAACATTTATTCCACTACAAACTCGATATTGATCTTCGGAGCTCTCGAAATTTCGTGAAGGTAATCAATGTTGATGGTCCGGCGAACGACCCAGTTTCCCCTGTCTCTGAACCACCAACTTTGTGGATATCCAGTCGAATACCACGGAGTGAACTGGAGGCTCGGTTCCATAATCAGTTTGAGCACCCAAAACAATACTTAGTCTGTGAAACCCAGCGTGAAGAGAAACAAGAAAACCCACAGTGTGTTGGTTTGATCAACAAAGGAGCCGTTATCACACTAGCAAGTCATGAGCATACCAGATCATATGCTTGGTCCAGGTCGGTTCCCATGAGTTTCTTTTCCTATCACGTGGTTTCGAATGTATTGCTCATTCATGCTCTGAATAGGCGCCATTCAAAATGACTCCAAATGAACCCCTCCTATATGATGATCCTTTCATACAGAGTAAATCTGTTAGTGGCAAGGACTAATTTATTTGTTTTTTTTATTTTGATCGATTCCACTCCAGGTAACTCCTTTTTCGTCTCATGTGTGATACTGTTTACTGTCGGTCCCTAATGGGGATTCCCGCGAATCGCCATACGTTAAACAGTTCACAGCCCATGAGCGATTTTGTCGGACTTGTGACTGCTCCCCATCAGGTACACCTTAGGCCATAAGGATTGCCAGTCACAGTAGATTTTTCTGCTCTGTAATGTCAGGGGACCTGTCCAATGAGAGAAGAACTAGCTACCATGGTTGTTGAGTGTGTGTTGGCAAACTATAAGATGACCTTTGGAGAGTTCGCCACCCCATTTAATTGAATTAGGCTGTCGGCAATCATGCATAAGCGTTCTAGCACCAGTTCAAAAAATTTTTTACACAGTCGACCACCACGTTGCCCACAATACACCTTCGGCCCTGTTGCAGTCCAAATCTCCATTTTGCGGCAACCGTGACAAGACTTGCTTCAAGTACCCAGACTACGAAATCGTTCAACACTTTTTTCTTACAATCAGAGCCTTTCCACACACCGTTTCTTCATTTTTGTCATGTCCAAAGTATCTCCAACTCATCCATCCACAACAGTTGCCTTTTTTCATAAAGGAAACTACTCACAAGTTGGCTGAAAACTCTTCGACAGCCCACGACCGGTTTCGCCCTTCTTGGGGCTCATCAGGTAGGCGCAGTCCTCGAGTTTCCGCCAACCTTATGATCTACTTGTTGCCTTTTTTGTCTAAATTTTCTTTTTAGCCAAAGTAACCAATACCTGTTTGTTGACTTTGCCATTCTCCAAGTCACATATTTTCCAGTCGAAATTTACTACTGTCTATGACCTTTGGAGAGTTCGCCACCCCATTTGAGTTAGGCTGTCGGCAACCATGCATACGCGTTCGAGTCCAGTCGAAATTTACTACTGTCCATTTCATTCTTGGCGAATTCAAAGTTTACACCTCAGGATGGTTTAGTGACTGAATCCTAGCCGACCAACCTGGCTTGGTGTCTGTGTGCTGATTTCCCACAATCATTTGTTTTCGCCTTTTTTGCTCGCTTGTCGGACCGTAACTCTGGACACACTTGAAATCTTGCGCAAATTTCTTATCCCAGTATAGCCCTACGCATAAGGCTAATGAAGTTCTGGACAACTCACTATCAGCTTTGCCCTTCCTACGGTTCATCAGATAGACTTGGCCTCCGATTTTGCACTTTTGTCCTTCACTACCGCATGAATCCTGTAATCACAACTAAGATTGGTCTGCACGTATATTTTTTCCACCGAAATTCTTTGTGGATGACTTACACAAGTTCACTCACCACTTTACTAAACTGAGTATACATTCCCTCTGAGTTGTTTCACTAGACTTGTTCTCGCGCGCCGTTACCCGAAAAAGTCGCTAGTACAAAAGCTGACCCGACAATCTTACCCCATCCAACCGCATCACATGCAGTGCCACGAGTGACATGACATTCACCATTCGTAAGGCTGGAAAATCAGGAGGGGGCTTGCCGATCGTCTTCTCTTCCGAAGTTTACCGGAAGCAGTCAACAATCACCCTCACTTACCCTCGGGTTCTATCGCCTACGGTATCCTCAACTTTCCCCATGCAAAAACTGATACCTTCGTAAATCGCTTTGCTTATTCCGTTTGCCGCTCATCACCAAGTTTTCGGTTGCAACACTGTTTATGCTGAGCGTTAGACACTATTTTCTTCCAATTCTGATCATATCCCTCAATTTTTTTCGCCAGCACCAGTTATCGTAGCAGATCATCCCGATCCGGAGTGTATCTGCGGGATATTCTGGTCTGAACTGACTCGTGATCTCTCTATTTCCAAGCGTGGGTTCCACCAAAAAAACCCCATTACATCTGGTCTCGTTCGTCTCACCTTTAGAAACTCTCCTGGTCAGGCTATTTCTGAGTGGCCGACAGGGCACTAGTCTGCTGACACTAGTTCAAACGCAACAACACCACAGACATGAGTGTTGTGCCGCTGGTCTTCCTGGCCTGTCTCCCTGTCTTCCTGGTATTTATTTGAGAAAACAAAAACAGATATTCCCTTTCCTGTCCCAAAATGCAGGTGTACGGGTTTGAACCCAAAATATTATTAGTTGAACAGTCACTTTCTTGAGATTCCGATCAATGTGTGGGCATTTCGGCACTTCGCAACCGCGCGAAGGTACTTCATGGCTGTGATGTTTTCACACCTCGTTTTTGTGGATACAGAAGCCCATTTTTAGGCATTCAAGCTACCGTCTACCAACCCATGCTTTGCTCCTTTTCGGATACCAAAAACAACTTTCTACCGTGAATATTACGAACGCCTATCTCTCCTTGGTAATACCAAATGTTGTGATGAATCCGAAACACTCCATATTTTCACGTCAGTTTTCCACTTTCCTTCAAACGCACTGATCCTATTCGGTCCACATTATGTTAGCCGTACTTCATTCTGTCATATGGGGAGAGATGGACCAAGTGGTAGAACGCGAATTTACTTACCGGAGGGTCCGTGGTTCGAACACGACCTCTGCCACTCGACTTTCCCTGTCTAGGCTTGGGCAACCTGGCAGTATCTCAGCCCTCGTGCCTCCCTCGTGTGGCATGGCAGCTAGGCACCGAAAGGGCGCTAGAGCTGGACGATTTTTATTTTTTCTTCTGTCATATCCTAGACTCGAACACTTCAGACAAACCCCATTGGCTCACTCAAACTTACGACTGTAAATGCATTCGAGTTGCATTCTTTCTCGACGACGGGTATTTGATTCACAAAAGTCTTTATTCTCCCTATCTGTGACATCTGACTGCGGTCCACGCTTCAGTGCCTAAGTGCCGGAAACTAGGGCTCGCCGACAAGAAACATAACAGCTTTATTGCAACGAGCAAGTGCGTGTGAGTGCAAAAGTTACAGCGGCCTCGCGCTATCTAAAGGGCACTTTTTGACAGTGGTCCGGGCCGTCTAATCGTTCGTTTAGTGAACATTGATCAACATCGACCGGGCTTCTACGAAATGCCTGAACACTGGTCATGGTCGGTCGTGCTTCTGTGGCGCGCCTGAACACTCATCGGCTCTTGCTGATTCGATTAAGTTATTGACTGGCCTGGATGCTTACGGCCAACCTATTGAGATTTAGGTGAGTTTTTAGGGTCCCAATAGGTTCTTGGCATTCTGAGATTATTTCCAGGTTTACCGTATCTCACATACGATTGCAACATACGAACTTGGGGTCCTTACGTCAAGCGCCAACCGATTGTTTGCTATATGCTTATCTCATCCCATGTCGACAACCTCCAACTGCTTTTCCGTCGTTTGTGACAACTCAGTTCTGCTCTCTTCCCTGAATCCGAATAACGAAGTCAGATTGGAAAGTCTTTTGTGGCGCTGAAAATGATTTGCACAGCAATACAACACGCAACTGAAAGTCGGAAACTCACAGGACAGATTCATTGACCATGATCAGGGGGACCAGAGTAAAGGCGATGATTTGTACACCAAGTCCCAGCGCTTACCTGAACACAGTCACCGCCTTAATGAGCGTCACTGAACAGATCCCATGAGCTTTTGTATCTTATTCAAAAAAGAGTTGCTGTTAATCAGCTAACCGGAGTGCATTAAGTGGTTAACCATCTAGGATACTGGACTGTCATGGATGAGTTTTAAAGAGTTGCTGTTAATCAGCTAACCGGAGTGCATTAAGTGGTTAACCATCTAGGATACTGGACTGTCATGCCTCGGATGAGTTTTTTTTTAAAATCATACTATAAGTCAGTGATTGAATTGACGTTGATTTGGAGACTATTTTTTGCAACGAATTAATTGGTATATCCCCTATGAATAAAGACAGCCACAGCTGTTCAACATGAGCAGTTTGCCATTCGGATCTTTTGGATACACCTGGTTGTAATGTTCCCCTTATGCATGATCATATGTGCCCACTTTGAATGCGTCTCACGAGTTGAGCGGGCTACTAAACTGTCTTTAGCGCACGTTCTGAGTTTAGACTATGTAGATTCTCCCGTATTATTGGTTCTTACGGGAAACTAGTTGGGTATGAGGACTGCCGCACGTACTCAGTTCCATCGATTTATTTATTTGCAACAGACGAACCACAGAACGAATGCCACCCTATTACGTGACAAATGAAGAAAAGTGAATGTCTCTGTTGATAACACTTTTACCCAAGTAAGGGACACGATATTTATTACGCTTATCGATCATTTCAATTCTATCGAACGAGTGTTGAAAACACTTAGGTGCTGTTCTGTTCGCACATGTGGACGACCAACTGGGTGGCTTGTTATCCTTCCTGGCAGTCCATAAAATACCAACGAACTACTTTTTCGTTTCGATGTTTCACGAAAACCTGAGAGTTGGTTCTTGCTAAAGTCTCACCTATCGGTGTTTTGCCAAGTGCAAATTGATCTTTCAACGAATAGGCTTGATCGATCGGCCGGACAACCTTCAAGAATACGTGATCTACCGATTACATTGTCGAAATGAAGGGTGTTCTATCAGTCAGTCACCTGTAAACTCAAGGCAGAGTTTACTATATCTTACCAAAGGGAAAGCAGATGGTGAGTAGGCTGCCACCTTCTAAACTGCATGGTTTTTTTTTTATTTCCGACTGGAGTCCTGTTACCTGGAGATTTTCAAATCGTATCCACACAGGCATGGTCGTTCCAGATTTCCTATCTTAGACACGGGTGAACGGCTCTATCACAGTCTAACTCGGAACTAATGATGATCCTCAAATTTGTTGACTTAGACAGACACCGCGTTTATCGATACCTTGGAGTTAATGTGTGTAAATTGCATAGTACAATTTGCTCCTTTTATATCGGTCGGCTATTCACTAACACTATAATAAAGAGCTAGACCAGCCTAATAGCATACCGGTGGGGTGGGGTGGGGGGGTTAAAAAAGCCTAAAAATTTGAACTTTACTTTTAATGATTGGCTTGTCATCAGTTTGAGAAACTTAGTAGGGGGGGGGGACACTGAACCAAGCACTAGTCAACTTATTCTCGCCGAAGTTTGGTTGGAACTGAGGTGATGCAGCTGATTGTATGTATTAGTGCACTGCTGATGATGGCTATAGTACAATTCAGAAGGTATATGCACTAATAAGAGTTTTTAGTATAGCTGACAATGGTGAGATGACACACGTATAAAAATGAATACAATGCAAAATGGGAGTAAGTCAAAAGAGGAACTTATCGTCTGTGAGGATTCCTTAGTGAAAGTCCGGACAGCGGGAACGTTTTCTCCGCAGTATGGCTGCTACACGTGTCCCATAATTGTCCATGGACTTGTGGAGAGTGGCTGACTTCCTGCTCCGTGCGCGCACGCGAGTGTGTGTGTGTGTTGGGCCGAGTTGTATGCCTATTTATAGTGTGCAGTGTGAAGAGAGAGGTGTCCCTTCGTGTTTGATGCTTGCGCGAATATCAATACGGCTTGACCTGGTGTGGTTGAATTCCGTAAGCCTGGCGTGTGACGCAAGTGGTAGCCGTGTAAACAAAAATGGATGGGTAGTTGAAGTGTGCAAGTTGTTGGCTCAGGTTGCAAGTGGGACAGGAATTGTCACGTGGTTTGAGTGCTTGTGACGCGTGATCTGAGGAGTGACCTCTACATACGTAAAAGAACGTTGGCGGGTACGATTTCAATCAACCGAGGCACTCCACACACCTCAGATTTATATTCAGGGTCTAAAAGTGCAAGTCCATTGCTGTTTTGGGCAATAAGCTGTAAATAAGGGATATAAGTTTTTGTAATGTACTACTCGTAAGGTTGCTGAAAATCCGTCGACACCCCACTACCGGTTCCGCTTTTTTTTGGGCTCATCAGGTAGGCGCAGTCCCCGGGTTTCCGCCAACCTTATGTTCTACTTGTAACCAAATTGCACGAAATTAGCGAATATACACTCATTTGCAAACTAATTTGGTTTTTCGAGAGACTCACCTGGAACCCAGCTGAAGGGATATAAGTTGCTCAGTGGACCTTAAATCCACGTGATTAGGACGGCGCCATCTGTTGCCCAGGAGAACTGTTGCGTCAGTTATTTGTCGGAGACAGAAGTGTCTGTATGCATGAAACACTGTACTGTATAAAAAAGAACAGTTGCCCCCTAAACCACATGACTGTTCGTCACAGGCAAACCTTTCACATTGCACTAAGGCAACTGTTAATCCAAACTAAGCATATGGTGTTTTTATTTACCAAAAAGCATCAAATTGCATTTATTGATTAAAGCGTGGTGCGTTAGTTAGACGGGCTAGGCTACTGGGATAAAAGTTGACTTTACTGACGGCAGATAGCCAGAAGGCTAATCAACTCTGGTCATCAAATGAACGGAAACTCCACTTTCAAGGTAGTCATGGTAAGTCATGGACCCTTTTGATGACCCTTTTCTATCAGAGTGCTGAACTGTCCAGCCACCCTGCTCTCTTTTTGAGTTTACCACTGCATGCCACGAGTCCATCTGTATTTTACAAATCAGACTTTTGAGTATGACAATCATTGAAGGGTTGGTACCACCTCACCGATATTGTCTTCTGATATCTTCGTTCATACCATCCAGCTCTTCGTTTTATCGCTTCTACGCTGAAAAATATTCCTATAAATCACGGTCAAAGGTTATTCTCTTAATAATCCCCGATCATTCTTACGGCCGTTCCCTTCTAGTTTACTCAAATGACTGCTGTCTGGATCTATCCAACTCTACAACATCCTTTAGTACATAACATACCAACATTGGCTTATCACGTTCGTGTGATCCATCACTGTCTCTCCACCTGGCAAACGAGTTGATGTGAAATGTCACCGGGACACTGCTAATTTCGTACAAAAAGCCTTAAATGAAAAAACCTTTGACCGGCTATTTAGTGCGTCCTCATGAACTCGCTGCGTGCAGTAAAACAGTAAAACATCAGGTGTGCCATTCTTTCGTGAGATAATTAAAACTGTTCGAAATCCCATTACTTGTTTCGCCACTTTTGAGTTCAGTAGGTAGGGACAGTCCTCGTCCACTAATCTTAGTTTACATTTGAAAGACAAATCTGTCACTTGGAAAGTTTGACACTGGATTGCAAGCTGTGGTGATGGTAACACGAGCAACACAGTTGGTTGAGGAATAGAGCGGTAACATGCGTCATGAAATTTGTTTTCAACTCCAAAAGGCACGCTATTCAGCACGCATTCATCTGCCGACTGTACGTTAGAATAGTCCGCTTGAAGGATGGGCTACGAACCCGGAGAAAGTCTCAGTCTCCCTGGTTTTTAGTTCAGTCATTAAGCGCGCCAGTAGACAAAGTCAGATCAATGAGATCAATGGTCACATCAGAACCGCCCAGTTGGCGAGGATGCATCAACTTCTGTTATCCCGAGGCTAAGATGGCCATGTACAACCTTGTACCCCCTGGACTGAGAACTAATTTCTGGATGTCTGTCCTCCACTTTACTCTCTCGTCTCGGGTGAGGAGGACCCATTACGTCTGCAAGCAAACAGGCTGATTTCTCCGAGAGAACCTGACAGCAAATATCTGACAAGACATCCCGCCGAGGATATCCACCCTAGTAATCACAGCACATCTTATTGCCATGCGGACCTATTTCAGCTGATATTGGTGCGCAATGCGTTTTCTTCTTCATATTTCCAGATATCAGCTTGTTGTGACTCGGCAACACGATTCGGAGCCGTATGCATCTTCCATTTTCAACGGGGTTGATCTGACTTCACCCACGGTGGACTTTGAAGCCTTCAGCTTGGACAACGAGAGCATCTTTAATGAGGTAGGTGGTAGCCAGTTATTATGACGATTTTGTATTGATTGATTGATTTTGAATAGTATGAATCTGCGGATTACCGACCCAAGATATTTCATGAATTTTACTGGCTTGTTCTAGAAACGCTGGCTTCCCAAACAATGTGTTTGATTACCGAAAGCTCTTCACTAGTTAGGCAAAAGTAAATTGTCAAAGACAAGTTTTGAATCGATGTAGTTTGAACAACATCGCACAGTCTGGATTGTATAGAATCCTTTTAATGGAGTTTCGTTCGTTCTCGCCACTGGCAATTAGTACAAAGACCTCCGAATAAGTTGAGTTATCTGGTGCAGAGTCTTGTTCTGTCAAAGATCCTCAAAGTCGGAAACTCCATTAGCTTGGTCCAAGGTAGTGTGGGATAGGCGTTGGAACAAAACGAATTCAGAAAACATCAAGGAGGCGTGCTGGTGAAGACACTGCCGAGAAAGAGATGTCCCTTTGCTGGAGAACTCTTAACAGGAAACCAAAAAAGAGTGGGTACGTTATTCTCTGTCCCTCCGATCGAAGACAGGTTTTATTGCATAAAACACAAAAGGATCACATCGACAAGATTGTCACATAGGTAGTGAGGATTCTATGCGTTGAATCTGGGGTCGTTAGAAGAGACAGAACAGATCGATAGACCTGAACACTACACCCAGTCACCATGGATAGAACAGAAGTAGCAATATGGAAATCAGAAAATCAGATCCTAACTACTAAGCAGAAACACTCATGGACACTGCTGTCTGCGTGTTTTGGACGAACGGAGTATAAAGTAGGCCGGTTACGACCAAAGAGACCACAGTATGAAACTCATGTGAATTTGGTGAGTTGATGTGCAGGTTAGGAGCAGCCAACTTCTTCATTAAGATTTTTTTAATACAGAAAAACAGTCGTGCAACACTTTCAGAGTTAACTGTGACTACCTACTCAACCGACATTACTGTACGCGGTGCGAAATAAGTAGTACCTTGGAGTCTGAAAGTGCACGCTCTTCGTTGGATCGATCAGAAGCTTTCCATTTATCGATAGAATTACGCGTGGCAAACACAGATGTGATCCTTTTGTTGGTGATAGTGGAGGAAGCATACACTTTGTCAATAATCGTTCATCTGTAACACTTTCGGAAGACGGCTGCCGGGCCACCTGAAAGAAGCTCGTGACCTAAGATAATGCCAAGTTGCCCAGGGCTTGGATTCGAACCATGGACCTTCCGGCCAGTCGGTTCGCGCACTAACCACTGATCAACCCTGAAATCATAAGCAGGTTGCGTCTGGCCTGCTTGAGTTCAAAACTGATGAGAAAATGTTCTTTTGATGAGTAGTCTATTGTTTAACACTGCCATCGTACCAACATAATCAGTGTGAACAGTGCTCAGATAGAGGACTCAGACTTCAAACTTCGATCTCCCCTGCCTTCGATAATATATTGTCGGTCATTTGGGCTCTCAATACTAGTTCACCACACACACTACCCATAAGGTTGCAGAAAACTCTGCAGCAACCTACGATCGGTTTCCCCTTCCATGGGCTCATCAGGTACCCGCAGCCACCAACTTCCGTCTTGGGCTCTCAATACTAGTTCACCACACACACTACCCATAAGGTTGCAGAAAACTCTGCAGCAACCTACGATCGGTTTCCCCTTCCATGGGCTCATCAGGTAGCCGCAGCCCCCTAACTTCCGTCAATCTAAAATTCACGAAATTCGCCAACCGCACTTATTTGCACGTCAATATGGTTCTCACGTAAGACCCAGCCGAATCATAAACGAAAGATTTAGCCAGGTCGCTTGAACAACGAAGGAACTAGGGTGTGTGTTGGCCTGTGATATAAAAGCAATTTCACTGATAGAAGCCAACACCTCGGTTTGTCGTTTGTTTTGTAAATGTTCGTGAGACCTGCCAAGCAACGAGTGAACTAACAGGGTAACTGACTGATGGAATCTATACAATGTGGGTCAGCGACATCCAGCTGTCTTCCTGACTGCTCAACGAAGAGACAAAAGTGTATCATTGATGGTCACCCGGGGCGCAAGAAAGCTCCCCGGGCTTTTGCGTTCTTTTAGCCGTTACATAAGCAAGCCCATTCGAAAGACTGGTTCGTAACGAAACAAATGACGTATCTGTTTGTGATCAAATGACCGTTTCCAGTTTTGTGGAATAGAGGGTATTGATTGTGGCCGAACAGTCAAGTTGGCTGCTAAACAGGTGCTCGCTCTGGTGATAGCGTAAAAGGGAAAGTCTTTCGCTGCGGGACCATTTACTAGTAAAAACCAACCAAACAATTATAAGCTGTTGTTGGACAGGAAAGTAAACGTCTCGTTTGAAACTTATTCTTAAAAACTGAACACCCTCACGCGTCATTTTGAACTTTCATGGATACTTATTGATTGTCACGCAATTGTTAAACGAACGCTGCATAGCAGTTTCACATGTTCCGTAATATACTCTGTCTTCCAATAGATGCGACGCGGTGTTACGGTAGAAAAACATGCTACTCGCGTGCCTCATCAGTAGTGTCGTTACTATAGACTTTCATGGATACTTATTGATTGTCACGCAATTGTAAAACGAACGCTGCATAGCAGTTTCACATGTTCCGTAATATACTCTGTCTTCCAATAGATGCGACGCGGTGTTACGGTAGAAAAACATGCTACTCGCGTGCCTCATCAGTAGTGTCCGCCGTTACTATAGTAGTCCGTAAAGAATAAATGCATTTTAATTCGCAACTCCCGTGAATAGCTATGCTTTCGGCTTAGGTTTTAGATGACCGAAATTCGGGTCAAAATGTCCGTCTATCCAAGTGTTTTTTTTTTCATTTTCAAAGGTTAGCAGGTGGTAAACAGAGTTGTGTCTACATAAGATTTGGACGGCAGGTAATGGCTAAATTTGGCCATAAAGTCAGAAGACACGTTCACACAGTTTGAAAAACAAATAGTACATCGAATTGACTGAATGAATTCATAGTTCAACATAGGACCTTAGATTCAAATGAAATGTGCCCGGTCTGTTTGAGTACTGCATAGTTTGATATGATCTTTGAACACCCAAACGTTTCGTGAAAATTTAAATATCGGTTGTTTCTCTGCCTAAGTATTATCGAACCGTGTAATTTACACCGTGTGTTGGGTACTTTTCACAAAAAGCTGGAGGTTGGACAATTTCGATCCAGGCAGTATACGGTCGGTCAGACTAGTCTGAAGTTTCTACAAACACACGAATTTCGTTTTGATTGGACACTCAGTTGAATCCAACCGGATCTCTTGTTTATGATAGTTCAAGTAGAACGAAAGCTCTGGAACTCCGCCTAACTGATGAAATGGGCGAAACCAAGCGTGGGCTATCGAGGAGACTTAAGCATCCTTGTAAATATGTGCTGCTATGCAGTAGGATACTTGGAGGACAAACAAGGCCGAAGTGGAGAACAGAGCTGCGCCGTGTGATTAGCTGACAAAGCCTGACCCAAGCCAATCAGTGCGACAGCGAATGGGAGACACTAGGCGGCGAGGTCATCTGTTGACTCCTGTTGCATGCCGGTCGAAAAAAAAACGTCATCAAAGCCAAGCACACAATATGGTCACACAGCGAAAAGACTGCTACATGATTTCCCGCAGAAAAAGTAAACTTACAATAACAGTTACATATAGAAGTTACGGCCAACACCTTAATTCATATCCCACAAGCAACTTTGCGCCTTGTGCACAGAACAAGAAATAGAGAAATGGATATCTGAAAACTTGGAATATAGGAGGCCTGGCTGAGCACACGATGGTCCTATTTGTTCGGCATAAAAATACACAGGTCTGACCTTGCGTAAAAGCAGATTACAATTTGCCGTGCCTTTAGTTGGAGAACATTCATTTCTTTTCGGTTTCTGGATTTTCGAACAACCAGGTTCTGGTGCCTGGTTGTTGTCTCTTGTTCTCGCTTGGAGTCCTGAACTGACGCGGTTCTTCACCACTACGGTGATAGAGGCTGTGTGCGTTGTCTACTAATCAGTTGAATCTACCTCCTATCAAGCACTTGCTTCCTGTGTAATAACGCAACAAATTTTCTCGCCATCTCTTCTTACCACTGTTTTGCATTTTGACGTACCATTGAATACGCGACCTCACAACCACTAGAAAGTCAACCAAAACCGAACAGGTCGTCAAGAAGAGATTCATTTAGATTAAATTGAGTTCTCTTTGAAGGCCAAATTTTTGTGCTCATGAGAGTGTTTGTGGGACGATCGCTGGTCATCTTAAGCCTGTTGCATTCTACCGTACATCTGTCAGTTGAGGAGATCCTAATTGACCTGCCTTTTATTCCGCTTACACGCCAGCACCTATCCTACCCAGGAAGAGTGTATATTCTGTGGCGGGCTAACGGGGTATCGGGTGATATCGCTGCTCAATCTATAGCTGCAATTGCCAAACTGGCTACGCTCCTAGGTCATCCATCGGACTTAATTACGCTGTCCTGGCTGGTTGGCCAGTGCACATCCGGTCCGGCAAGTTCCACAGGGTGCTTCATAATAAACGCAAAAAGTGATACCCAGGTTAAGACCTTAACATTAGTTCAAACTTTTATCGTTCTTTAGATGGACATATACACATTATGGAGGTTTACTTTAAAGAAACTGGCATTACAAAAATATATCGAAAAAATTGCCCTTCTTTTCTATAACAATTTGGAGGTGGTATGAGATGTGAGACAGCATGTTTAACTTCTTCAAGCGTCACTCGTGCACACTCCTCTTCAATTCTTGTTCTTAACTCCACCAAGGTGGCGTTTCATAACACGATGCACGCTGGCGCGGGGAATNGAGGTACTCGTGAGGAGCTTCGTGGGACCATATCACGCAATTGTGCTTGTTGATTATGCCATCCACAGAAAAATTTGCTTCATCGCTCCATAAAATGTCAGGAACGATTTCTTCTCTGCCTAGCAGCCAGTTAGCGAACGTGACACGTTGCTCCTTGTCTACTTCCGTGATGTT